AACGTTGATCGTTACTGCATCGACTGTGAAAAAGGTGTTTCTAGATGGAGTCATTGGGCAGGATGCAGTGTTGTATGCAGGCTGTGTATGAGAACTGGGCCTGAATTTCCGTGTCAGGTATTATTCTATATTTATTAACAACTTCATATTTTTAGTTGGAGGGGAGAATTCCGTGCGCCGATTGTGGTTTTGTTTTCCCGAATCGAGCGTGCTTTGACTACCATTTAAGAAATGAAGCACCCGAAGAAATGGTTCGTCGCGGAAATAGGCCGTTTACATCAATTTGTCAAATGCGAAGAATTTGTGCTCGTTGCAATCATATAATTTATGCCAATCAAGAACAAAAACACCAACAAGAATGCCCTTCACGAGTAGAACAGCAGCAACAACAACAACAGCCATCAGTTTCAAGCTTAAATCTGCATCTTTCTTGTAAGAAATGTAAAGGCCCGCATGATCTTGAACAACCGTGTTACATCCAGCCATTCAAGGAAGTATGTTATGAAGAAGAAGAAGCTAATGGGAAGCGTACTCCATTACGCCTGTGCTTTTTTGATGCGGAGACGAGTCAAGACGAGCCAATGCAGATTAGCAACAACATCAATGGATTCAAACATGTCCCTTTACTAATAATTGCAGAGGTAATCTATTTTTTTCCTACCGAACATATTTTTTTATTAGGTCATCTGCGAAAAGTGCATTATTGCTGGCATTGGAGTTGAAAACATTGGACAGCGAGCGGAAGGCTGTTTTTGTGGAAAGCCGTGTAATGATCAATGGCGGCGCTGGTGTTCAATTCCCTTCACAAATTCTCAAGGCGACAACACACCAACACCAGACAACATTTATTACAATCCTCGTCGTATGTTCTTCCATTCATTTGACAACGATCAGCAAAGCCCTGTAGACCAGTTTCTTGACTATTTGCAGCACCACGGGCCAAAAGATATTCTCACAGTCTGCATTGCCCACAATGGTGGTAAATATGATTTTCACTTATTGTTGGAGGCTCTTCACCATCGCAGCATCCCACCAAAACGACTCTGCACTACCGGGCTTAAAATTTATTCAATGCGTTTGGGTGGTAGTCATCAAAGAAGGGTCCTTTTCAAGGATTCGCTCAACTACTTTTTCTGTGAACTTGATGCACTCACCAAAGTATTTGCATTACCGGAGGAAGTGGCTATAACCAAACCATTCTTTCCTTATCTCTACGTGAAAAGACAACATCTTCACGAGAGAATAAGAGGAGTCCCTGCATTGCAATATTACCAGCCGGACTACAAGAAGGCCGAGAAGAGAGCAAAGCTTCTGGAATGGCATCAACAACAAATGAACAAACCAGCTATTCACTTCCAACTACGTGAACAGCTAATCGTCTACTGTGTAAACGACGTGGCCATTCTTCGCGAGAGTGTTCTCCGTTTTAGACATCTAATCGGCGAGCACACTCAGAAGTTGGACCCGTTCATCGCTGCCTCAACGGCGGCAGGCCTCGCTCTAACAACACTGCGACGATGTTTCCTACCTGAGAATTGGCTTGTTCATTCACCAGAAGGAGGCTATTTGCGTGGGAGAAGGGCATCAGCAGAGTCGCAGCGTTACATCAAGCTGTTTGAGAAGGAAAATCCAGAGGCTGCAGGGAAAGTGCAATGTGCCCAGTGGGCGATCGGCGAAGCTCATGTGGAGGATACTGGTTACCGACTTGATGGACTTTGGTATAGATCGCCTCCACTTCGACCATTGGCAATCGAATACATGGGCTGCTATTACCACGGTAATTTTATTATTCTTTTCCTACTCAGCTATTATCAAATTTAGGTTGTCCAATTTGCTTCCCTGTTCGCAGCCAACGCCTCGCTGCTGGAAAAACTGCTGAAGAACTATATGAAAGGACACAACAACGTCTATGGGAGCTGGATCAACACCACGGCTACGCCCTTCATGTAGTCTGGGGCCATGAGATGAAGGAAAGGTTGAATGGAAATCGTGAACTGAAGCGGCAATGGTGGGAGATTGAATATGTGAAGCCGATGGATCCGAGGGAAGACTGCTTGAGAGGTGGACGCACTGAGCCTTTCAAACTCCATCACGTCTGTGGGAATGACGAGGAGATTCTCTACATTGACATTGTAATTTTTTATTAAACATACAATTTTATTTTAGCAATATAGGTGAGTCTCTACCCCTATGTGATGAAGGCCCGCGAGTTTCCGATTGGCCATCCAACAGTTCTGACGAGAGAAACACTAGTCAACACTTTGCCTTGGACTCGCCCTAGCAGCAATGCTTACAAAGGACTTTTGCTGGTCAGAGTGCTTCCGCCAACATCTATACGAGGACTTCCACCTTTACTTGGCTATCGCACACATGACGGACGTTTGACCTTCCCTCTATGTGCTGCGTGTGCAGACGACAGGCAACAACATGAATGCCATCATTCTGACAAGCAACGGTCTTGGGTGACTGGGTATACCCACGTGGAATTGAACAAGGCATTGGAGCTAGGTTATAAAGTAATCGACGTCCATGCTGTTTTTTTCAATCTGTTTCCAATTAATGAAAAAATAGGTTTGGCACTATGAACGCTGGGACTCCGATTTGTTCAAGGGATACGTCAACACCTTTGTGGGGCTTAAACAACAAGCAAGTGGTTGGCCGCAAGGATGTGAGACATTGGAACAGAAACAACGCTATTTAGCGGAATTTGAACATGTGGAAGGTATTCGTCTGGAAATGGCCAAAGTGGAGTTGAACCCAGGCCTTAGAATGATTGCGGTTATTTTTTTAGCAAATTTCAAATATTTGTAAATTTTAGAAAATTTTGGCAAACTCCCTTTGGGGAAAGCTGGCACAACGTGTTGGTGGAACAGAAATTCGATATGCCCGGACTCCGGCAGAATTCCATCAGATTTTGGAGGACCCGACGCTCGACACACTAGACTTTGCCCACGTTAGTGAGGAAATGGACAGATGTGTGGTAAGGAAAAAGGCTGAATTTGCAACGGCGCCTGAAACCAACTGCTTACCCGTCGCAGCATTCGTGACATCATATGCAAGACTACATCTGTACGGGTATATGCAGCAGGTTAACAACATTGGTGGCCAGCTCTTGTACTGCGACACAGATTCGATCATCTACGTTGCAAAGCAAGGAGGGGTGAGAGTGGTGGAAGGCGAAGCACTTGGGCAAATGAAGAGAGAAATTCCAACACGGCGAATTGTTGAGTTTGTTGCTGGTGGTCCAAAGAACTACGGCTATCGTCACGTGGATGCAGCAACAGGAGAGGATGAAAGGGCTGAGTTGAAGATCCGCTCGTTCCCTCTCTCCTATGCCACACACCAACTCCTCAATTTCCATTCTATGAAACAACTTGTACTCGATTAATTCAACATTGATGGGGAGATGTAAGTTTTTTAAAAATTTTTCATTAATCATTATTTTCTAGTGATGAAGTGCTTGCTGATGGAGTGATTGGCGTGGACTTTCCGCAGATTGGGCGCACAAGACTTTCGGAACTCTACACTCACATGGCTCACAAAGACTACAGGCCCTGCTATGAGAAGGGAAGAATACTACCTGGAATGGAGACTTTGCCGTTTGGATATAGAGAGGAGGTAATTAAGAAAAGAAAAACCAAATAAACTATTTCTATTATAGAATAGAGAGGTGCAAGAGGAACCAGAGGACTTTGAAGAAGTAGCAGAGGACTTTGAAGCATTGCCTGGTGGATCTAGATGGACAAGAGATGATTATTTGGCAAGATACTCATAGATATTATTTTTTATTGTATTCACACATTTAACTGTCTAGTAAATCTTATGAAATTTATTTACGTGTATATTTTTCAAATAAGGGTAAAAGCAAATTTTCAAATATCTCTTTCATTTGCTCTTGAGTTTTTATTCCCGTTAATATCACACGTCCTGAGATGTGGCAGAGACATGACGCTTCTTTAAGTTTAAATCTAAGTGCTGGAAAGATTGTAGGATCATAAAAGACTTGGCGAAAATTATTGTTGTTGTCATTTCTATGTTGTTTGTAAAGTTGTTCAATAGCCAAGCGTTGTGGGTGGCAATAGACACCCACAATATTGGTGACCAGCAGATTTCTAAGTCCGATTGAAGAGTTGTTGTTCCCAGCGGCCTTGTTAGAGGCCAAAATTCTTTTTGTAACTTTCCAAGCCAATTTTCTTGCAAGTTCAGGAGTTGGAATACCAGTAAGGACCACTTTTGAAGACTCAAATATGAGTGCCGCAGTGGTTCTATTTTCTTTCAATCGAATGCGCATAATTATAGAATGGAATCTCTTTGGATTATACTCTGTATTTATTCCAAATCTAGCTAATTGGATGAAATTTTCATGGGAAAACCTTAAGTTCCTAGGCAAAAGTTTGAAAACAGCAGTACAATTTTCTATGTTCATAATATTTACTTTTAAAACAATTTAACAATTGAAAAATTTATTTGAAAAAATCAAAAACATCTTTTCATCTTATTCTCAGTCACAGAAAGAACTTCCAACGGGTAGTAAGAACGGTGACGGCCTCCTCCAAATTCAATGATACAAGGCAAATAGGAGTGCTCCAGTTTGACTTTGTGTTTGATGTAGTAGTATCCGCGGACCTGAATATAAAATTTACAAATAGTTTTATAAATATTTACCGTTATGCTCAAATATCCGCCCATAGCATGTACCACACTTGCCGATCGAACAGTCAGATCATTGCAGTGAACAATAAAGTTTTTGCAGCAAGGTTTGAGATGACATGTACGTAGTTGAACATTTCGGCGCAGATGATTAATTATTTCGCGCCGCTCTTCTAGATTATGGAAGAGAACATGAAGTTCTTTGAGAGAGCAATTCTTCAAACTGCACAAATATTCAATTAGCGGTACAGATTCCGGAGCAGGCGGTGGAGTAGGTTCACGAAATGGATTTTCGACAGTCCAATCCAAAGGTTCGTCTATAGTTATGCGAAGTAGCTTGTCGCTCATGTCGAGCATAGCCTCGTCAATATCTTCCTCCTCCGTTTCTTCTTTAACCTTTTCATCAACAGGAACACCAAATGCTGGTGTAGGGGTCTGAAATTAAAATTAATTGTGTTTTTTAAATAAAAATAGTACCTTTTGCTCCTCCTTTGCTTCCGTAACGTTTTCTTCCATAGCTGCTAATGTAGGTGGCTAAAAATTAAAAATAATTGGAGTTAAAATAAAAATTAAACCTCCGTTTCTTCGTCAGCAATAACTAATTCAGGCTCAGGTTGCGCAGGCTCAGGAATAAATGGCACCCCATCTTCCACACCCCAAATCATAAGCGTGAGAAATTCCATAGTTCTGAATAGAAATTAAATTTTTTTTGATCTATATATACCGGTAAAATGATTGAATTGTACCTTTTAAAATGAACGGATTTGAACACGTTGATTTTATTCACACACTGTTTAAGCACCCCTTCACGATGATTGTGTCAGGAAGTACTGGTTCTGGTAAATCAGAATGGGTAAAAAAGTTTTTGAATAATCTGAAAGAAATGACAAGTGAAAATATTTCAATGATACTTTATTGTTATGGGGAGTTAAATTCAAATATATTACAAATGCAGCGTAAAGGCTCGGTGGGAGATATAGGTGTTACTGTTCATTCTGGAATGCCGAGCGAAGATTTTATTAAAAGGCAGGCCAATGGACTGTTACTTATACTTGACGATTTAATGGTTGGAGTTGATCAAACTATATTGGAAACTATATTCACAAGGGGGTCGCATAACTGGAAAATGAGTGTTATACTGTTAACACAACATTTATTTTGCAAAGAATTAAGAATCCCGCGTAATAATTCACATTATTTGGTCTTAATGAGGAATCCCGCTGGTTCCCTTCAGATTAAAAACCTTGCTACCCAATTATTCCCCTCGCGGTCAAAATATTTTTTAGAATCGTATGCCGACGCGACAAAGGAAATGTTCGGTTATCTATTAGTTGATCTTCACCCAAGTACCCCAGAAAAGCTTCGCCTTAGAACACATATATACAATGAAAAGGAAACAATAGTTTACGTCCCAAAATGACAAAAACTAGCGAATTAATAGAAAGGAATGCGGATTTTTTGCATTCTGCGAATACAAATTCAAAAAAAGTATTGCGAAATCTTTTGGAAAAAGCGACGGATGAACAATTATTATGTTTTGTTGAAATTTGTTTAAATTTACTAAGGGGGCGTCTCCCTTTTCATAAAAACAGGATAAATACCCTTCAAAAACATGCAAGTATTTTACGTAAAATTAGTCGGTCTCGGACCGCCCCCACAACAAGAAATTTGTTACAACAGGGAAAAGGTATACCTCCTTTGGCTGGACTTATAGCAAGTCTAGTTATCCCGTTTGTTGTGGATTGTACCAAAAATAATTTAATTAAGGTTCTGCCCGTCAAGGAAATACAGGTGCCTGTCATGGACATGGAGGAAAGCCGGAAGAAAGTGAACTTGAGAGAAGAAATACGAGAAAGAAGAAAAGATGGTATTGAGATCTTATCGGCCAATCTTTTACATTAATAATTTTTAATATATAATGCTTTATGCTTTTCCCAGCTTTTGACTTTTACACTTCCATATACATATTTTTTAAAATAAAATAAAACTTTTCTTCTTTTAAAATAAATAAAAATTATTTTATAACAATAATTAATAATAGAGTAAGGTAGAGGTTTAAATCGCCCAGTCCACGGCTCTTTTAAATCTTTAAATTATAAAGACTAATTTGGTGATATTTAGGCGAATTGTTCATCTTTCAATACGTGGCGAGCAACGGACCTGTAAAATTGTTCAAATCGCCTTGTTCAAATTGTTCAACGAAGCTAATAAAGAAGGACGTGAAAGGTGTTTAAATTTAAATAAAAATCTAAAAAAATTTAAATTAAATTTAAAATATATAAATAAAATTAAAATGGATAGGCCTATACTAAGTTTTGAAAGGATAATTTTGGAATTAGTAGATAGGTTAAAGGAATTAGAAAATAAGGACCTTCCGAAAAAATTAGGGGATAAAGCTACGCCAAATCAGCTACGGAGACAATACTTTTTTGTTAAAAATACTTTAGAGCAATTTGGGGATTTAATTTACGAAATAGATGATAATAAGAAAAAAGCTACTGAATATATAGGAAGATTGTCGGCGGCGAGTAAAGAAATTAAAGAGGCATCATTTTCGACATTTCTAGAAGAATTAGACTTAGCGAGTGTTTTGAAAGAGGTGAGAAAAACTAGAGCGGAGTGGGAAACATTAAAATATAGTATAGAAGAAAGACTGGATATAGACCCAGAAGAAGCTTCAGTAGGATCAGCAAATCACGGAGGAACCTCAATAAAAGCGAAATTACCACAAATCCAAATACAGAAATTTGACGGTGAAATAGAGAGTTGGTTTTCCTTTTGGGAGAATTTTAAGGTGTTAGTACATGATGAGAGGAATTTATCGGAAATAGAGAAATTTAATTTTTTACAGGCGGGTTTAGAAGGAGCAGCTAAGGAATTAATAGAGGGTATACCAATAACAAAAGATGGATATTACGATGCGATTGATTTAATACTAGAAAAGTTTGGAGATAGTAAAAAGTTAATAAGGTCACTAAATCAGGAAATAATGAATTTGCCAATATCTGAATGTTTTGACGAAGATGAAAGATTATATTTGAAAATAGAGAAAATATGTAGGTTATTAAATTCTTTAAAACAAAATACAGATGATACACCTTATTATATGGCTTTAGAGAGTAAACTAAGTGCTGAAGTTTTAGATAAATATTTTGCAATAAAATCCATAGAAGAAGAAGAGGATTGGTCAACGGAAAAATTTAGAGCGGCGTTTAAAAAAGCGCTTACACACGTTAGAACGGTTAAGGAAGTACAATATTCGGTTAGAAAACAAAAAGCAGGAGAAAGAATAATAAGTTTAACGACAACTACAAATAAAAACACAAATAATAGTTGGTATGGCAATAATCAAAATAGAAATTTCGCACAATTTAGACCCTCTAATAATAGAAATTTTAGTCCAAATAGAGAAAAATTCCGAGATAAAAATTTTAACCAGAATAGAGAAAATTATAATAGAGATAGATCCAGATCATTCAGTCCCTCTAGTGAAGAAGAGAAGAGAAATAATCAATATAGAAAAAGAAGAGACTCTCCCTTCCCAGACCGAGGAAAAAGCAGCTCGGACAGCCAGAGCCGATCGAGAGAAAGGGAAATTATTTGCGCTCTTTGCTCTAAAAATCATACGGAAGTAGACTGCACAAAATATAAAAGTGCAGAAGAGAGAAGGAACGCTTGTCTTAAAAAAGAGTTGTGTTTTTACTGCTTATTTAAAGGCCATATGGCGTCACAGTGCCGGAGAAGAAGAACGTGCGTATTTTGTAGAAAAGCTCATCACTCAGCACTCTGCCGCAAAAAATATGGAAATATAAGAGAAAAAGTAAATTTAAGTTTGGAAAATATAAATAAAGTAGAAGAATTAAAAGATATAGATTTATCGAATTTAGGCAAAGAAATTATAACTGATTGTAGAGTAAATATAAACACAGATTGTAAAATTGAAAATAATTTAGTTAATTCGTGTTTATTAAATCCAGAAAGTAAAATGTCACTCCTTAAAGTAATACCAGTAAAATTATATAACCCATTAAATAAAGAAAAAATAATAAAAGAGTTTGCATTATTAGATGACGGCAGCCAAAAATCGTATATAGAAGAAGAGCTAGCAAAAGAACTAAAACTGTGTAATAATAATATAAAGAAATTTCAAATAGAGGGAATAGGAAAAACCAAAATGGGGACTTTTGAAAAACCAATAGTAGAATTTGGAATAAGAAAAGGGAGCTTTGATAAATTGATAAAAGCCCGTGCTTTGCCAACTGTTTTAAATAATCTACCTTATGTGTCAATAGAGTCAATTCCCAAAGAACAGTTAAATAGAAATAAACTTTTAGCAGAATTACAGATGATAAAGCCTAGATTGTTGATAGGAAATGATCATTATAATAAATTTATAATTTCAACTAAAGAACAATTACCATCTGGATTTTGGTTATCTAGTTCTAAAGTAGGTAATATTCTTAACGGAGAAGGGAAAATATTAAATAAGGAAACAGAAGGAGAAATTTGTGGATATAGTTATATAGATGAAAATAACACTGGTACATTAGAAATACAGAATGATAAGGAATCGTATAAATGGGAAGATTTAGTAAGGAAACAAGAAAGCCTGCAATTTATGGGATTAAGTGACGCGATAGAAAAGAGTGATGAAGAAGTCAAAAAAGAAATGGAAAAATTAGTAACATATGACGGTCAGAGATATCAAACAGCACTTTTATGGAACAGTCTAGCAGAAAAATTACCTCATAATAAGCGAATGGCATATGCTCAATTAAAAAATATGGTCACGAATTTAAGAGAAAAACCGCATATTTTAAAACAAATAGACGAAATATTTAAAGAGCACGAAAAAATGGAATTAATTGAAAGAATAGCAATAGAAGAAAATACGGAAAATAGAGTACATTATTTACCACACTTTGCAGTATTTAGAGAGGATAAAGAACACACAAAAATAAGAGAGGTTTTTAATGGAGCAGCCAAATCGGGGAACGCACCTTCTTTAAACGAATGTTTAGAGAAAGGACCTAATTTATTTAATGATCTCACGGGTATACAAATAAGAGCAAGACTTCAAAAATATTTAATAGGGTGTGATATAGCCAAGGCATTCCTCCAAATAAATCTTGACCCAGTAGATAGAGATGTAACACGTTTTTTATGGATGGAGGATCCTTTGGATGAAAACTCAAAAATAATTGCGTTTAGATTTAAAAGAGTAACTTTTGGAATAATATGTTCACCAGCACACTTAGCTTTAGTCATTCAAATACATTTAAAGAAATATAATACAGATTTAGCAAGAGAAATTGAAAGAAATATTTACGTCGATAATATTATAATAGGAGTAGAAGATGAAAAGGAAATTTTAAATATTTGTCAACAAACAAAATTAATTTTTGAAAAAGCGAATATGCCAATAAGAGAATTTATTTCTAACTCAGAACAAATAAATAAATTACCGATTGAAGAAAGGATTGTTAAAGATAGAGTAAAATTTTTAGGGCTAGAATGGAATGTTAAAACAGACGAAATATATATTAAATTTCCTAAAATAGAAGTAGGAGAAAAATTAACTAAAAGGAAATTATTGTCCCAATCATCTAAATTGTTCGATCCTATGGGTCTTTGTGCGCCAATTTTAATAGAGGCAAAACTATTTCGTCAGGAAATCGATAAAAATAGAAAAGTTGGGTGGGACAAATTATTAACGAATAAAGAAAGAGAAAAATGGATTAAAATAATTAGTGAATGGAATAATCAGAATATAGTAATTAAAAGGAAAATACATAATGTAATAAAGAAAAATATAGACAAATACGAAATACACGCATTTTCGGACGCATCTCAAATAGCGTTTGGGGCAG